AGGGTGAAGGGCAGGTTGGGGAGGGAGGAGAAAAGTGGGGAGTTTTCAACCTGGGGGAGATGTTAATAAGCTGTGCCTGAAACTTGGGAGTGTCTGCAAAACACAAGGAAGAAACGTAAAACCTGGGGAGAGAAGGACTCTACAAATTGAATTAAGTAACCCTTTCCTGATTAAAGCAAAATGGGTTGAATTTTTGGCAAGAAAATTTTGAACATTTTGGTTTTCTCTTTCTGATCTTTGGATGTTTGACCTGGCATGCAGAACTTTGTGAGCAAAATAATGTAAAAGATTGAATTTATACGCTGCCGTGTCTAACACTGGCTAGCTCTCCTCTCCCTGGCCTTCTTTTTGCAAGTCAATACTGCAAACAAATTAATATATATAACTGCACAAAAATGCTCTTATTTCTCTGTTGTCTTGGTGCCCATTTACCCAACCTGAAAGGAAGAACAGATCAGCCATTTTTAAAATCCATTTCAAGAGAGATTATAACAATTACCTATCCCGTCAGTCTGTGTCATTAAGTACAAATGAGTCTGTGATGAGAAAAGTCAAAGCTCCATTTTATTAGTCTTAATTTTAGTTTTTATTTTTAGATACCTAATTTGCTTTCACATTTGATACCTGAGACAAAAGCATCGTCTACTGCTGATGTCTCCGTTTTCCCTGCCGTGACTGTAATTGGGCACTCTCCTAGTGGTGGCACGCTGTTGGCGTAGATACCGCGAAGCAATGAAGATGACTAGATTAAAAAGAAGTCTTTTAATATATTTGTGATTAACTGGCAACTATAATAAGAAGTCGCAGGGAAAAGGAAATAAACAGAAAAGGTTAACAAGGGAGGACACAGAGATGATTATGTGCACGGGAGGAAGAAAGGGAAAACAGTCGCCCAGCCTTCCCTCTGACACCAACCTGTTTGATAAATAAGTAATGGGGAAAAGAATTTCCGCCCTCAGATTTACACATTTTGTACTCTTCTAGCTTGACCTTTGTACACGGCCACAAATCCCATGCTAAAGAGCAAGGCTATGAATTATGTAAAACAAGAAGCGGTTCAAAGGCTTTGCCTTAGAAATAAGTAGCTTCACCTTCTACCTGGATGGAGAAGATAGATCTCCTTCTATTGACTTTTTATCCAGAGTTTTGGGGATTTTTTTTTTAATTTCCTTGACAATTTTGTTTACTCACTCATCATCCAAAAGATTGCTCAACAGATTGTCCAAACGAAAATTATTTTGTTTTTAAGCATAGCGGAACTGGTGATTGGAATCCAAAGTTCCTGTTGCTGATATCTGCCATGCTTAGTATCCTAGAATAAACTTCAGGACTATGCCTTTGTGGGAAAACCCTGGATAAATGACAGTCTAAAACAACAACATGTTGGCTCGTTTTCCAAAGATGTCTAACCAGAAAGTGTTAAGACAGCTAAAAAGCCCTGGGAGATGCCAGATGTTTAATATCAGAAAGTGGATACAAAAAATGATAAGCAACAGACCTCAGCTATGGAATCTGGGTGATGGGCACAGAGTGATTGCTGGAAGCTGATTTCAGTTATGTGAAAAGCAAAGAAAGTAAGATATAGCCAAACGTACTAAAGGGGAATAAAAGACTCGGGGTGGAACGTGATGATCATTATTATCCAAAGTACAGGTATGAAGACACGAATTGGTGTGAATATACTGTGTGTATGAAAGGTATGAAAAACTGTGCTATATATGTGTTATAAGAATTGTAATGCATTTCACTGTCATATATAACTAAAAAAGACTAATAAAATAGGTATTACTCCTGTGAAATACAAGGTCTTAGAGCAACCCTACTCTTGCCTAAAGGAGGTGAGCCATGCACAATTTAGAGGAGGAAAAGTACTCAATAAGAGTCTGTCTTACACTGAACCGCTCTGTCTTAACCATGACAGTGTGCGGTGTTCTCAGCATTTAATTAGCCAAGCACTAAGTTTTATACACAAGATCCTAGACTAAGTATTTTATAACTCTCTGAGATACCTACAGAGAGAGAAACTGAACTGTCAAGAACAGAAGCAACTTCTTCACAGTCAATTAGATAGAACTCACATCCAGTCCCCAAATACCCTCAACCAATACACCCACTGCCCAGTCCCCAAATACCCTCAACCAATACACCCACTGCCTTCATGTCTCATCTTCCAGGGTGGCTTGGTCTCAGCATGGCCCCAAACATGTTTTTCTATTATGTGGTCATCCACGTTGAAATTTAGGAAATCCATCTTTGTAGGATTGCTTTACTCTCAGAATAATCCCAATCATTGTGGGATTTTGTTTGGTTTATCACCATGAGGTGGTAACTGTTTCTTCTCTTTCATAGATTTCTTTGCCTGAGAAATTTGTGGTCTACATATTCCCACCAGACCAGCTGGTATTCAAATCCTTCCTGCACTGAACTTTGAACATGTCTGTAATAGCTGTTTTCTCACAGGGGAGAGAGTACCCCCTTACCTGCAGGGTACCTGCATCTGCACCCACTAGCTCCATGGTGCTTTGAATGACCTGCTCAATTCTGTGGACTTTGAAGCATGGCTCCGTTAGATTGTACAGGGGCTAGGCTTCGATTTTATCCCTTAAAAAGTCAAAACCTATAATTAGACCAAAATAAAACCAGAAAGTTTCTAATTCTCTGTGGAGAAAACCACAGATCTATTCATACTTTTTAGTCTGAATCAGCTGGTGATACTATAGAGAGGTCAATCTGCTCACAGAGCCGTCTACCAGGGCATAAAACATGATTCCTAATAACACTGTGTTTCAAATACCTGAAGACCTATGAGAACAGCCAGGTGATTCCAAAACATTATGAACCATGTATTAGAAAAAAATGGGGGATATGGAGAATTTCTTTCCTATAGATCAATTCCAAGTTCTCACAGGAAAGGATAAATAAATAAATAATCACTATATGAATTCTGTTATTTTAAATTCTCTTCTTTTCTTGTACAATTGTGAATTGCCTGGCAACAATCAAGTCACCAATATCTACCTTTTGGATATTGTCTGTGAAACTCCAGGACCAGCGGTAGACCCAGGTCTCCAGGCCTTGGTGCCAAAGTTCTGAGCAGGTGGGGTTTGGGCCACAGAGTTTCATTGTTCCTGCTTTAATCAGCAATGGAGTTCTTTGGCTTGAAGCCTGTAGACAAAAGAGTGAAAATTACAAGAATCAAGATAATGCTACTATTTGGGAGTTTTCCACCTAGTTAATTCACTCACATCTATCACCACAATACATACACACACACACACACACACACACACACACACACACACACCCCTTTACACATATATGCACACACATATATAATAAAATAGTATAATAATAAGTATCTCTATATATGAATAAAATACAGTGGTAGACTTAGTGAATG